AATTAAGTGATCAGTAAAAAAAAGAAAAGTCCCCTGGTATCCCTTCCTTGCCAAGTGTTTGATCATGCATAGCAGTCATTAGCTAATGTCTGCTTCTTCCTCGGTCTCCAAAAAAGCTTTGACAATATAGCTTCTGGCAGAATGCAGAACGATTAATTTTTCATGCAGCTATTTTTTTCAGCTTGTGCTGTAAAAGCTCAGGCTAAGATGGCCAACTCCAGGTTGGGAAATTCCTGGAGATTTCGGGGATGGAGACTGGGAAGGGCAGGGCTTGGGGTAAAGAAACCTCAGTGGGGTATAACGCCATCCAGCGTATCTCCTAAGTAGCCATTTTCTCCATGGGATCTGATCTCTATTGTGTGGAAATCAGCCATAATACAGGGAGATCTCCAGGCCCCACCTGGAGATTGGCAACCCTAGCTAAGGCTGCTCTTAATTAGTTCTGTTCACACAGTCACTTACAACAGAGACACCCCCCCCAATATTGTTAAGCTTGCGGGCACTTGAGGAGTTTTAAGAGGGGGGGAGTGGGTGCTGCCACAAAATGGCTGCCATGGAGTACTACAAAATGTTGGCACGTTGCAAGCCAAGCATCGTTCCCCAATGGAGACAGCTGTTTCCGGGGCTTTTTTTTGTAGAAAAAGCCCAGCAGGAACTCATTAGCATAATAGGTCATACCCAAGAGCAGAAACTCATTAGTGAATTAGGCCAAACCCCTGATAGTGTGGGTCATTAGCATATTATGCCACACCCCATGCCCTCCCTTGGCTTGCCTGGGCGCCCTGCGGCTGTGGGGAGCCCAGGCTAGCCGGGCCTTGGAGGGAAGGCAGTTTAAAATGCCTTCCTTTGGATTGTCCGGGCGCCCCGTGGCTGTGGGAACCCCGGGCAAGCTGGCCCTTAGACAGGCTGGGGAAGGCACGGGGAGGCATTTAAATGCCTCCCCGATTCTTCCATGGTCTCCCCTGGCCTGCCCACCTCGGAGTCGCCGGGGGGGGGGTTGCTCTCCAGGCCTTCCCTCTGTAGCCACACACACAGAGGTTTTGGCTGTAGTGGGTGTGGCCACCTCGGAAGCCAGCCAGAACTCCGTTCCTGTGCGTACCTGCCCCAAAATAGCCCCGGCTGTTTCCAAATGAGTGCTCCTGACAGATACCTCCATCAAGGTGGAGAATAGCCAAGACTGCCTCTATGCCTTGAGGAAGATATGTTTTGGGGAAGAAGCAAGTGGGTGTCACACTGGTAGTCACCGTGACTCCCGCAGGTGCTGTGTTGGGAATCACTGGTTTAGAATTCCTTAGGTGTACATGGAAAAAAATGACCGTCAAGCTATCCTTGTGACAATTTTCTTACTGCCTGATTTGGTGCGCAAGAGTGGTTAAAGGCTGTTCAGGGGTGACTAATCTTCATTTGGGAGGGAAGATGGCATGGTATAGCTTGATTTCAGGAGATTTAGGAAGCTAAGTGTTACATAAGCAGGGTCGGTACTTGGATGGGAGACCATTAAGGAAGGCTCTGCAGAGGAAGGCAGCGGCAAACTGGAGAGCCAGTTTGGTGTAGTGCAGTGTGGTGTAGTGGTTAGGATCGTGGACTCTTAATCTGGGAGAACCGGGTTTGATTCCCCACTTCTCCATGTGCAGGTGCTGGTGTGACCTTGGGCCAGCTATTTCAGAGCTGTTCTTTCAAGGATAGTTCTCTCAGCTCCCTCTCAAGCCCCACCTACCTCACAGGGTATCTGTTGTGGGGAGGGGAAGGGAAAGGAGATTGTAAGCCACTCTGAGACTCCTTCAGGTAGTGAAGGGCGGGGTATAAATCCAATCTCTTTGGATTTATCCTCTGGTTAACATCTGAACAGAGTTGCTATCAGTTCTAGCCCGCGCTGGTGTGAGCTACCAGCCTTGTCCCCAGCTCGCCGTCCACCCAGCGGTTCGAAAGCTTCGGCGAGTAGATAAAATGGGTACCACTCCTTAGAGAGGGTGGACACACTAAACCCCCATTGGGGAGGTGTTAGCCGGGGAATGGAATGTCCAGCTCGTAAGCTCGGAAGCCTGGAAAAAAGACCTCTTCGGCATTAAGAAGCCTGTAATGGGCCAATCCGGCCAGGCGGTGGCAGTGCAGCGCTACGACTCAAAGCAGCCCAGGAAGTACCAACATCATCAAGCCAAGCCGAAATGAATGCTGTCCGGAACATGTCTGAAGCTTACAGCTGAACAAAAATCCCCATTGGCTGCAACTGTGTG